CCCCCCCCCCCCCACCACTGGTCTCCAGCCCCCTGCTCATTCCCCTGCTGTTCTCCACCCTCCAGAGCCTCGAGATAAGGAGAACAAGCAGAAGGCTGGAGAGAATAGAACAAGCAGGAGGCTCATTCCCCCCATCCCCATTGGTTCCCCCAGCTCCCTGTTCATTCCCCTGCACCCCATTCATTACACCCACACCCTGTTCATCCCCCCCATCTCCCATTCATTCCCCCACCCCCCTTCATCCCCCCAGCTCCCTGCTGGCTCTCCCAGTGTACCGCCCCCCCCACTCACCAGCAGTAGCAGAGAACAAGCAGGAGGCTGGAGAGAGTAGGAGAAGTCTCCAGCTTATCTCCAGGGACTTGTCTTCAGCCCCCGGCTCCTTCCCCTGTTTTTGTCTCCATCCTCAGGAGGCTAGAGACAGCAGGCGAATGTCTCCAGGGGCTGTCTCCAGCCTCTTGTTCCTCCCCTGGCTGTCTCTAGCCTCCCGAGGCTGGAGATGAGCAGGAGAATGACCAGGGGGCTGGAGACCAGCTTGAGGCTGGGGACAAGCCTCTGGAAATGAGCTGGAGACAATCCCCCGGCATGGAGCTCTCTATTGCAGCTCAGTGCTCTAGGATGAACTGAACAGCTGGGTCTGTGACAAATACATTATAATAAACCTCTTATGTTGGATATGCTATTCTTTTGGTATTAGGAGAGAGAGTAAATAAAATCTGTGTTGTCTCTTTCCTTCTTTATTATACATAACACATATGTAAAAATACAACAGGAAAAATAGACAATGGGTTTTAACATAAAATTCATAATGCAGTCCACTTATATTGCACCATCCTCAGCAATTACAGTGAACCAAATTCAATGTTGGCTTCATTGTGAGTTGCATTTGCTTACCTCAAATTAGTTCTCCACAGAATAAGAAATCAACATAAGCTGTGCTTATCTGGTCAAATTGGCCAGATTTGATTGAATATACTTGGGGTGCTTTTTTGGAGCGGGGAGTAAGAGCACTGGAATGGTACATAAGAAGGAGTAGAGGAAAGACAAGAATGTAGGAGAACTGAAATGAGAAAAGAAGAAAGGAAAACCAAAGAGAAACAAAAGAAGAAAGACATTGTGAAGAGCAAGTTGAGAGAAGGTGACTTTGGTCTTCAGGGAACAAAAGACTTATTCATATATCAACTAAATATTAAACTTCATGAAAAGGAGAAGTTTATCAAAAACATAGTTGGAGTTATAAGACAGGGGTAAAAATAATAGTATTGCATGGGAAAATGAACAGTAGGGAGGAACTAGATCTAGAAAACAAACAGTACAACTCGGGAAGAAATCTATCAGCAGACTTCACAAATCAAAAACATATTAATTAAAAAGTGGTGAGACAGGAAATGAAGACCAGTATCAAAAGAATATTTTTATAAGAATTAGTTTGTTTTATGTTTATATAACACAGGCAAGAGAAATGGGTGTCTTTTAATGTAGTTTAAGTTAAACCAATAAATGGAGGAGTGGAAATTGAAAAAAATTAAACTACAAGGGAAAAATATCTAGTGTTAAGATTACAAATTAGTATGGATTTGATAAAATCCTGTAGAGAAGAGAGAGTAGTATGATTATTTAAATCAGTGTAAAACAACAATAGCAAGGAAGAAAAATGGAAAGTAAAGAGGAAATTCTTAGCATCTAATGAAGTAGGCTGTCACCTATGCCCTAAACCACTTAGTCTTTAAGGTCTGAGTCCCTGCCCTGTCTTCTAGCAGAAAAAAAAAAGAGAAGGAAGAAAAAGTTAAAAGAGAATGGACAGATAAAATATTTGTAGCCCTGCTTATTATACTGCAGACAAACTGAATATTCCAACCCACTTCAGAGAACAGGTTTTTTATGGACATAATTAGGCTTGTAAAGAGTATTGCTATTTTTCCAGTGGTGTAAACCAATAATAGCTAGTAGCTATTCTTGCTTGACTGCTGTATTCTTGCTCCCATCTTGTATTTCCTGGCTTTGATTCCTTTCTACTGTCTGCCCGAGTCTGCTGTTGAACCCCTGGCTTTTGACCCTGGTTCTGAGCTCCTGGCTTCTATGACTCGGCCCTATTATTGAGGTACTCTTGATTTCCAGTTGACTGCTTATACCCTGGTCTTTATAGCCACCCACCATAGTCCTGAGATGAACTATTCCAATCAAGATTTTCATAAGGAGACTTTATTTAAACCCCCTTGGAGAACTTCCTGCAAACATACATACCCAAACAATAAGAATAACATCTGCTTACAACTAAGCAGCAGCAGCAACTGGTGTCTTTAATGGTAAACAAATTGGTGATGGAGTAGCCAGACATTCTGGCAAAAGACAAGACAGCTATTCATAGAGAAAGTAGCCTTATTGTCATGAAAACATAATTAGGGGTATGGTTGTAATAAGGGAAGTTTCAGTCCCATCCCCCACAAAAAGGAAAGTATCTGTAAGGACCTTCCTTATTGCTATAGTGTGAAAAAAGCAGCTTTGGTCTTTCATCTCAAGCTAATCACTTACCACCCACAAAAACCTTTTAACCTTTTGTTAACCATACAGAAATAAAAGGAAAAAGTTGATGAAGTATTTAAAATGTAAAGAATTAAGAAAAGCTTTCATTTTAACATTTTGTGTATTACTTTTCCTTCTGGATGTTCAGAGTATACAGATACAGGAACACAGCACACTTCAGGAACATAAAGATGGGTGGGCAAATGGGGAACAAGCCTCGGGTGCTATCTAATGGGGGTGTACTTCACTCTCCCATCCCCCGTGCCCTCTCCTTCCCCAACTTCCAGCAGCAGGGATGGCAGAGTAGCAGCAGTAGCAGGACTAAAGAGTTTGCAGGTTTACTGCTGGAGGTTTACTGCAGTAGGAGGCATGGTGGGGGGCATAAAATCAAAATACAGCCATTTTTGTGCTGATGAAAATCACTGTTTACTTGACTCCATGACATACGTTGTTGATGTTAAAAAGGAGGCAACTTCCTCACCCTGCAGGAGTGATCTCCAGACACTGCTAGATACAGTAGTGGGTACAGTAGTAGCTGTTTACACCTCTGGCCTGCATATTTTTTTTCTTTTTTTAGATTACAGGTACTGTCCCTTTTTTGGAAATAAAAATGTAGATTTTGGGGGTAGATATTGATGACTGGCCCTGTTCCCTTTAAG